TGTCAATTCTTGAGTTAGCAGTCTTTGAAACCTTATAATAGTATTATATTGAGGATCTAATAAAACAGAAGTTTTAAAACCTGTAACGTGGACCCAAACAAAACAAAAAAACTTTTTAAAATCAGTGGGGATTTTAAGTTGTAACATATTCACTTTTGTGTTGTCCTAAAGCATATGCTTCAGGTCAAAGCATTCCTTGTCTGTAATACGTTGGAAGATAATTTCAGATCCATTAAACAGTCTGGAACAATGCACAGTTAAAGGACAGCCATATTATTCAAGTTATGTATTCTGTCCTATTTAGTCACCAAATGGGATACATTCCTCTGCTTTACATCACTCTTAATTAGATTTCTCTATTCCATTTTATCCTTTCCATCTCTCTCCTTGCTTTTGTCTCCTGTCACAAAGCCGAAATTCTCTGTTACCGGCTCATCTCTTTTCCATACCTACATGTCTCCAGAAATGCAGGCCAAAACCAACAGATTTATCACAGCCTTAATGACAGCTGGCTGCATGCTGAGTGAATTCTTAAATTCCACAAAGCTACTTTTCTTGCCAAAACATGTGGAGTTGCAGCAGTCAACATTTTATTGGGACCGTTATCTCCAGATGAAGAATGACTCTGCTGGAAAAAATTATTTGGTATCAGCTATAGACCTATTTTTAGCTTCTTGTTTGGTGAAACTTCAGAAAATATAATTAGCCATATGTTGAGAGATGTTCTCCACATCTTAAATTCAATTTTTGCAAACCACATTTAAGCACTACCTTTTCCACAACTTTACACTTAGAATCAGAAGACATGGTAGGGTATTTTATGAGAATGTGATTCTTCATATTTCTTTGGGTATATATTTGTGCTTATGAAGATTGTAGAACTGGCAGAACTTAAGACTGAAATCTTATTTTTGTTTATATGAGAAGATTTGTGCAGGCAACAGTACTGGAACCATCCCCTGCTTCTGTCACTTATGAACTCCTAACCTAGCATTGGGGTAATGGTGTTCTCAGACGCAGAAAAGTAGAGCAGGTCAGAAACATTCATTCTCCCCCACAAGTATTTATAGTGAAAACAAAACAAGATTACTTTAATCAAAAACACATACAGAAAATCTTAAGGGTTTGTCAAAAGTAAGAGCTTCTAAGTGAAAACATTTTTTCCCCAAATGAAATCTAAACAAACTGTCAAATTTCAAATTGGATTAAAACAAATCAAAAGATTAAATCATATCTGCCTAGTTAAGTATTGGTATGGAATTATAGTCAGGTGCCTCATGATAGTACCACGTTCCTCAAATCTGAGCTCGTGTTTGGTCTACTTTACCCATAATACAATTTCAGTTTCTCCTCAGGAAGTTTTCTGGGAAATGAAGTTCAGTTTTTGCTGCCCTAAAAAGGCAGTTTGAACTATGTGAATTGGATAAATGTCAAAAACTTTCTATTTATATTTAAAGAAGAAAAAGAAAACTCTTTTGCTAGAAGAATAGTAAGGCTGGAGTTTTATTTTTCTAGTCGGCGGAGAAGGTTTCTTTGGTTCCTCTCTGATTACAGGTAGTTTGATTCAAGCTTCTCATTCTTTCACAAAGCTGCCAAATAGAAGTTTCCTTACAACGTCATGATCCATGTCATGGATGGAGCAGACGTTTACAAAGGCTAGAATGAAGGGAGAGAAGAACATTTGGGATAGTTTCACACTGCTGAATGGTCTGATAAAGCTCACAATACAAATAGAGCTTCTGCAGCCTCTGTGGTTTCTATCCCAGTTGTGCTCAGAGTAAACTCTATGTAATTGAAAGTCAAGCCTCTTGGCTATGATAATTTAAAATCCAGTTCTTGTGTTTCCACATTTTTGTACTGATGGCAAGCTGCTGTCTATCTGCTTGATCTTACTCTCATTGACTTGTTTGGCCTGCTTTTTTTTTGGTTTGCCTCATTGCCACTTGAAATGCAAAACATCTAGATTGCTGATGATCTGTTTCTAGCAACATTAAAGAAGGAGATATAACACATTTATTGAACATATTGAGAACTGTAAGTCACCCTTATTTTCAGGTGGCTCTTGATGAAAAGCCTGTTGTCCCTACTGGAACCATTTTTTTCAAATGACAGTGGCAGTTGGCTTTTGCAGCTCACAGTGCTTAAGAGAGTTTCTGATCCCTTACACAAAGTTAAATGTATAGATTGTTTCTGAGGCACCTCTGTTAATCCATTGAAATGAGTTTCAAGATTACTACAGATTGTTTCATGGCTGTCTCATGGCTCAATATGGAGTGAGTAACATCACACTGTGTGAAACAGTGCCATAGAATACAAGGATCTAAACAGTCAGAATAGGAAAAAGCAATTTGAGGGAAAAGTAGCATGTTTAATCCCATTTCATTGAGTATTGAAATAAATTGAGTTGCTTTATAGAGCTTTCAAAGCACAAATAGCAAGAATGTTGATCATTCAACTGGGTTTTTATCACTAAAAATTAGTAATCAAGGGTGCTTTTTCTATAGTTAAAGGAATCAACTCATTTAACTGAATGTGGTTTTTTGGTCGAATGTTAGTATAGTTGAGATGGAGGATTTATTTGTTTTTATAGCAGGGTTAGATGAAGTTAGCTACTTCACTTAACCTGTTTCTCAGTAGCTGAAGGCTTTTCCTAATTTTACAGATTACATTTTCCTAATTTTACAGGTAACTTTAATTACAGAAAAAGTCATTGGTTTAATTAAAATAATTTTAAAATAATAAAACTTCCTCTGCATAAAAATACAACTCTATGTCTATTTTATAGTTGAAGAGCACATAGAGTATTTTCTTTTGTTTGTTTTCTATACACATTCAAAACAACAACACTTGACTGTTATACTGCAATGTATTTCAAATAATACAATTCCTATAATGCTACTAAATACTTAACAACTATTCTCATCATTTCCAAAGAAATTTGATTTGTTATGGTCCTTTTGTGCTCATAGAACAATCTAATGCTCATGACCTGTGAATTTAAATATTTATTTATATTCTCTGATTAAGCATTTGCCAACTTTTAATGAGTTAATTTGCCTCTGATTAGCTTACTCTATAAGACTTCACTTGTAAGCAAAATGATATTTTTAATTCAAAATGCACACTAATATGATATAGATGATCACAGATCTGGAGGAAAAAAAGTGAATCCAGCATGGATTTTGTTTCTTTCCCTGGTATCCAGATTTACAGCTTAGTAAATATTATGAACAAACCTCTGCTTAGAAATGGTCTTAATCTGAAAACTTGAGAAATAATCCCATACCCCTTCAGAATACATTTACTGCTGAAATTCCATATTTAAGGCTATGTTATTCCTTTATTAGTTCCATTAATGTCTTTGAATAATGGCTTCCCATGTGGTAACCTAATTATTGTTTTGAATAATTGGGAAACTGGCCCATTGTTGTAGATCAGGTAGGAAATGGATAAAAGAAGGATGAAAAATTAGTTATATGGGGCATGGGAGTCTAACTAGGAATGTTGAGATAATGGAATTGGTTAATTTTTTTGATTGAAAACCAATGACATCTACACAGTGAGTCCTGATGAGCAGTTCCTGTGATTTAGGAATGTTACTGCCGAACTCAGTGCCCCACCAAGACTCTCCAAACCACACAGTGCTGTCTCTCACTGCCCCATTCTCCCCTCCCCTTCCCAGCTGTGGTGGGTTGGAGAGAATTATTGGAAGTAAGAAAGGCAAAGATCACAGGCTGAGATAAAAACAATTTACTGGAAACAGCAATGAGACAAGAAAGTGAACAGTAACAGCAATAATGTTCATGACAGAAAGTGCAGGAAAAGAAACAATTCACACAAAAAACCTCCTCAATATTAGACAATATAGGATGGCTCCCTCTGTCATGTTTTCTTGACCTTCTCCTGAGAAGTGTCCCTTTACCCTGCCCCCAGCAATGACGTGAGGTAGTACAGAATAACCTCATGATCCTCTCCCAGCTACTGAAAAAGTTAACCCCAGCCAGAACCAGGACAGTAGTAGAACTTGCAGAAGCTCTGGTGCTGCTTCTCTTTCCCCGGCTAGCTGATGTTAAGAGAGGGGGGAGGCAGTTTTCCCCCTGGAGCTCCGTTGAATCCCAGTTGTCAATTGTTTCGGCGCAATATAAAACACAGGCAGCACACACGGGTCCCAGGGAAACTTTATTTGATGGTAAACTTCCCCTTTCTTCCTCTCCTGGGCCCCAATCAAGGGGCAAACAAAGACTTATATCTCAGGAGAAAGTCAGGGGAAGGCCCCACTTTCAACAAATCAGGAGAGTTGGGAGTAAAAAACCTAGGCAGGGAATAACAGTAGTGAACCAATAAACTTCCAAGGGAGAAAGAACAGTTTCAATAAATGGGTAAAGTTTGGAGAAATAGAAACTAGAAACTAGCTGACGACATAAATGGGAAAAAGGCGGAGACAAAAGGAAAAACAGCACCAAGGAAAACCACCAAATCACAAATCAAACCATAAACCTAATAAAACAAAAAGCACAATACAACACTCTGGTACATGGGATATTTAAAACTGAACATGACAGACAAGAAAAAAATGGTTTTGGGGAATTAGTTTTTCACTGTCAAAGGGGTGGACTAGTGACCTACTATCTCGTAGTGCCTTTTAGTCTGTTTGAACTAATACTTGGAATTCCATATGTCCTCTGGTCCCATTTGGACTTCTTTTGTATCTAGCAGTAGGAGATCATCATCCTGTGAAAATGCTTGACAGTAAATGCTTAATTTTCAGTCTTTCTTACTGGACAATTAAGTCTCAGTATATGCAGAATCACATTGTGCCCACTTGTTTACTTGCAGTAGAGAGAAGGACAGAACTCAGAAATCAACTTGTCCATGGATCACAAAAAACCTGTAAAATTGGCCAGCAGCACTGGGAGTTTTAAATGGTTGGAAATGTGCAATGATTTCATTGATTTTTTACATTTTTAATTCTAATTATTTGCATTTTGTGTATTTTACAGACCATCTGAAAGGAAAGATAATCCAGAGGCAGATACAGAGAGCAGCTCTAGGTAAGAGTGTAACATTTCAGATATGATACAACAGGGACAAGCTTTCTCCCAGGGCTGAATCTTCTTGGGAGGCAGGTTGTATTTTCTATGACAGATTTTTTGCCACAGTATTTCTACAATAGTCCATGCCACAAAGAACATGTGAACTTTGCCTGAATTTTGACTCAAAAGGTGTCTAATTTTATGTGTGGTGAGAAAAATAATACCCAGTTCTTACAGATCTGGGAGTTTGGTTTCTGACTAGTCTAACCTCAATTCCTATTAACAGACATTGAGTTGTCCTGAGGCTAAGCTAGTAGCCATGTTGCCACAATCTAACATTCTTTTTAATTTTTCTCATTCCAAGGGGGACTGAAGGCATATACAGTTCATTTCTCTCACATCTAGTTATTCTTGAGAAGTTATTCTTGCTGTTTCTTTTGACACAGCTGTAAAGCTAAAACTGTCTGTGTAAGTTGTTCACAAAAGTGTAAAGTCATCCAAATTTGGTTTAAGATGCTTTAAGCTGATTTCGCTGACTTTGTACTGAAATGGCCTAGGAGTGTTCATAAGAGAATTCCACTTTGGGGACAGTAAACTTCAGCCAAGATTTGACAGAAGACCGCTGGGGCAGTTTAGATCTCCCCTCCATAGAAGAATCCCAAAACATACCTTCATGGACCTACTTCACGTAAAAGATGGAGCTAACTTGGACCAGATTGCAGCTGATATGTGTGTTTCTATGTACACATAACATAAAGAACAATTATCTCTTAATAAGAGAGAGAAAATTTGGGGACTATCTTTTCTTCCAAAAGTCAGGTGAGTAAGTTACTTCAGAATAACAAAACTGTTTCTGTTTCTAATATACCCATGCATCTCAAGCTTTGGTGATGATGTTATTGTTTCACACCTTTATAATTTTTTATTTTGATTTAAAAATCATCACTAAAAATAATTTTGTCTGTCAATAAAGCCCAGGAATCAAACTCAGTTGACTTTTATAAGGATGAGAAGAGGGAGGGAAGAAATTGCTGATCTCTTCTTCCTGTTATCCAGTGACAGGACACATGTGAAAGGTTCAAAGCTACATCAGGGGAGGTTCAGATGTAATATTAGGAAAAGATGCTTTACCAAGAACAGGCTTCCTTGATAGGTGATCAATGTCCCATACCTGACTGTTTTAAAAGTATTTGAGCACCCTGGTTTAATAGTAGTATGCTTTCACTTTTGGTCAGTGCTGAAGAGGACTAGATGATGGCTAGGAGTCCTGTCCAACTCCTCCCTTTCCCTGATCTCTCCTTCCCTCCTCTGAAGTTCAATTTAAAGGTGCTATCTTCAGAATAACATGGCATTTTTTCTTTAATTCACTCCAGGTTTGAATACCATCTATTTAGTAATTTTTTAACACTATTTCAAGTTACATTAAGATGAATCATAGCAGTGCTGTTTATGAGAATTCCTTATTCAATGGTTTGAAAAGTGAACTAATATATTCTGAATGTGTGTTTCAATCTGAATGATAATATCTGGTTTTGTACTGACTTTTTTTACTACATAGAAAAATTGTGTTTCAAATGCTGTTTTCAATAGCTAAGCTGTTACTCATAACATTGGTAGGTATAATTTTTCATGTCCTTAGAAAGTGCCATAGCAGTGACTTTACCAGCTGTACATTCACAGTATGAATATTCTGTTAGTGTTTCACCTCATAGCAGGCAACCTTTGTGGTTTTGCCTTTTTGTTTTGAGCATTGCTGTCTGCTTATTCTCACTAAATCTGGACTGCACAAAGTATTTTCCAGTATTTACATTATTATTTTAAATACTCTGGATATTTAAGCTTAATATTTATTCTGTCAGTTGGAGAGTATTATTTGCCTGCCTGCCTGCCTTTCTGGATGAATGATTTTTCAAAGAGTAACAGGTGCCAAGACTCCCAGGAACTTCTTGATGATCAGAATGTCATCAAGATATTTTTAAATCATGATATTTTTAAATGTGTGGTCAAAAGTCTAATTAAGGGTCTGTTGAAATCCCAACATGAAATAAAACACACCATTGTTTCAACTAGAAACCAAGTTAAGTAACATCTTCCAGCTGCCTTTTTTTCTTCCCCTTAACTTAAAGCATTTTATGGTTAAAACTCTGCAAGTAACTATTCTAATGTGATTTGAAAGAGTGTAGTTCTGTTTCCCTTATGCCTGTGCTTAAGATGTGGATTTCTTTTTGAAGGAAAACACCACTACTCAACCCATTGCTCTTAGCTATCCCTTTTAAAACATTAATAGATGGGAGGTATCATCAGAGACAAGGGATTTTCAAAGTTTGTCAGTGCACTACCAGAAACATTGAACACTTTATGTAAATTTGCAAGGATTCATCTCAGTGTGTCTTTCATCTTTATTATCTGGAAAACTACCTTATTATGGAAATAAATAATTTTAGTTATCTTTATGGAAACCTTTCAGAGTAAGACACTTCACTGCATTTTTAGGTGGGATTTAAAGCTCCTTTTGCATGTGTAACTGCACTTCAGGAGTATTTAAAATGAAATAATGTGCACACTGCCTAAGTATTGACAGCAAAAACACTGGGTCGTAAACATGCTTCAGGGTGGAAAAGATGGGAGAAAAGAATGGAAAGAAAAGCTTTCCCTGGGGTTTGCAGTGTTTTAGAAGAAAAGTTGATGTTTTATTTTATTCTAGTGAAGCATTATCTTATGATGCTTTAAAGTAGTATTTCTGTAAAATGCAGAGCCTGATGGCAAAAACTTTTTGCTTCTGAGGAGGTTTGTTAGGAGCAAATTTCTGTCCAACTCTGTTGTCTTTATAAAGCTACTTGAAATGGAAAAAAAAAAAGGAAATATGTGAGTCTTTGTAAGGAATTTGCATCCCTTGTACAGATTTCAATATTAAGTTTTATCAATATTTTATTAAAAACTTCAAACCAATAAAAAACCCCCTCATTTTTGCAGGTTTTGTGACTTGAATTTTAGAAATAAGATTCTGTATTTCTCATGTTATTCAAAGGGCTGTTCCCCAGTTCTTTTTTAAGCAGAATTCCCTTGAAAAACTGATTCCTCATAAAAAATAAATGACGAGGTGAGTCAGAAACAACAGATATGTTTCAATCCCTGAAAATGCATGCCAGCATTTGATTTGGTGTGGCAAATGCCTGCAAGCACAGATTTTGGCATGCTATTTTTATATTTGGATTGGTAACACGTATTTGGTTTTAAGCGAATATAGGAAAATTCCTGCTTAACTTTCTTCCCTTTACAGCTTTATCTGTACCATCTTTTCCTACATTTTCAAAGCTAGATGCCTGTTGTAAAGATGTTAGTATCAGTCCATGCCCTTTTTCATTCCTTGATGTGTGTTTCTTCATAGCATGTTTCATTCTGCTTACTCACCTTTCCTTGTCTAGAAATGAATGAACATGATCAGCACAGAGGACAGACAGTGCTGTATAATGAATGCATCAGGGGACTCCTGCAGGAGTATTCCAGCCAGTCTTAGGAAAGGATTTCAAGCAATGATTCCTCGAATCCTTTGATGTTGACACTACCACATATCTGACACTGAGAAGCAAATATGTTGTCTGACAAATTTCTGCATATCAGAAAAGTTACAAAGGGGAACTGCTGCTCCTAGTCATCCAGTGTCAGATCCCAGAATCACAGAATGATTTGGGTTGGAAAAGATGTTTAATCCTCCAGCTATGGGGAGGGACATTTTTCACTATGTTAGGTTGCTCAAAGTTCCATCCAACCAGTCATTGAACCATTCCAGTGTTGCTCATGCCACTAGAAATGCTGGTCCACCATGGTTTGTACCTGCTCTGGATATAAGGCATGTTCAGAAAGTGTATGGTAGTCCTCTCTGAACCATTGCAGCCTCTTCTAGACATATATAACATTGATTAGTCCAATAATTATGACTGTCTTGAAGTCATCTGCTATGATCTGTGCGAATGGAAAGCACATAGCACTTCCAAACTGCTGGTTTACATCAGAGTTAATCTGTTCTTTAAATAAATCCATATTTGAATAAAATGAGCTTGGTTTCTTTCACTGCTTTGCATTTTGTAACTGAGATGATATTAAACTTTTTTCATATGAAGCAGAAGAGTCTTGATCTGTACTAATGCCATGAAATAAAGAGACACAAGTGTTTTCAATCATAAAATGACAGAAGCTGAGGAAACTGGCAGTTTGTGTTTTCCCACACAAATCCAACATAGTCCACGGAGAATAATAGATGGCCTGTTTTAAGACCATCATTCTTGGTGATGAAAAATGATATGTATGGGCTAAATAAAGCACTTTAGATAAATAATTTGAAGTCCATAATTTCAAGGAGGTGGTGGTTTGGTTTTTTGCTTGGTTGGGTTTTTGAGGTTTTGGGGGTTTTTAGGTTTTTTTGGTTGTTTTTTTTTTTTTTTTTTGGTTGTTGTTGTTGTTGTAGTTTTTTTTCCCCTGTTTTGTTTTTTTTTGTTTGTTTTTTGTTTTATTTTGGTTTGGGGTTTTTTTTTTTTTTTTTTTTTTGATTTTGGTTTGGGGTTTTTTTTTTTTTTGTTGTTGTTGTTGTTGTTTTTTGGGGGGTTTTTTTGTTTGGTTGGTTTTTTGGTTTTTTTTTTTTTCAAAGAGATAAGGAAATGTCCTCAGTACTACCAGGTATCCAAGTGCTAAAATATGCTAGAGAGCAGTGTAGTCAGTATACAATACCCTCAGAATAAGAGAAAGATTTCTCTTAGGAATTCACAATTTTGATAGTCACAATCTTTCTGTGTATTATGTTGTTCTGTATGTTTGTGCTTGAAATGTCAAACAGCAGTGGTGGTTTTGTGTAAGTTCTTGCACATGCAGCACACTGCTTTTCATTCCTAGGGTGACCTCTAGTGGCATCAAGGCCATTTTCTTTAGGGATGAGTTTATTTTCTTTAGTCTATTTCAAAGGAAATAGAAATTCTGCGTGATAGAAGGTTGGTAAGATTGTGCTTGCTAAAAGGGATGTTGAT